CCCCGTTTGAAGCTTTTTCCATTCCATTCTTTGTCTTCTCGTATCATAAACTGAGGGGAATTTTTGATGCTGTATGTGCCAAACTGTATACTCATTTACATTAAATTTGCTTAGCCAAAAACGAAAAGCATGCTAAGCGTATGCGTGCGCGTGTATGTATCTATGTGTATGTGTGTGTATGTGTATCGGTGTATCTTCTGACGTTCATTTTCAGGTAGAAGTATTCTTCAACGATGAACAGTCAAAAAAATTGGAAATTTTTATTGACCCTCTTCCACGAATACGTGTGTACGGTCTTTGCCCAGGTTAGCTGTTATATACATGTTTTGTACAGCAAAATGCGAACGTTATTAAATATGTTTTGTGTGAGTTTTCCACTAAAACGTGTGGCGGTAAGTTCGGGGCACAGGTAGACGACGAGCATTAAAACATAGTCAGTTGGCTACGAAATTTAAAGAGATCGAGAATGACTGACGGAGAAATACGAGAAAACCAAAAAAAAAAAAACGACTGAGAGAACCTTAATTAAAAGGCCCAGAAGAAGCATTCTAAACAGCTTGAATGTGCTTCATTGCGTTGCATTTTGAAATAGTTTAGAAATGCAAAAAAAAAAAACAAAATTTAATCAAATGAAAGCGAAAAGAAGGGAAGGCCGAGGAGAGGGGGAGTGGAAGGAGAGAGAAAGGGGGCTAAGTGTTGCCTTGTAAAGAACACAATTACTGCGAAACGCTTATTTATCGAGAAATACTTATAAATTTTTGTATTTCGGGTCATATCTGAATTTAGTATAAAAATTACAGTTTTTAGCAAGTGCCGTGCTTGGAGAACGACGGGACTTTGTTGTCAGCATTGGTGATCGAAATCCGGAGCACCTAAAAGTTATTGTGGAAGAACCGGATGGAAGCAAGCATGCGATTCCTCTTGAACCGGATTCCGAAAAAGGCGATTACAAAGGTGAAATTATGGTCAAGCAACGTTATTCAGTGATCGATTTCAACATGTTCTAATTCCGATGGGATTGCCATTGTTACATTTAATTGCAGGTTCCTGGAAAGCAGCTCACATAGGAAAAACGGGGTTTGAGATTTTTTTTAACGAGAAATTGATCATAAGCGACCAAATCACTGTGCGACCAGTAAGCGGTGTATCAAAATGCAAGGTTTATGGCGAGGGTCTTGAACGTGCAGTGGTTGGTGTACCAGCAATTATCAAAGTCGATCCAAAGGTTATTGTTTTTGAGACAGTAATTGTTGTGATTGCATGTAGCGGTCAAGTGGCGGTGTACTTATTGCAGTGGACACCTGTTTTTTTTTTTTTTCATGTGAATTTGTTGCGGGGTAACGTGCGCAAAATTCGTGATGCTTTTTGAAATTGTTCGAAGCAGCACTGCTTTTATGCAACAACGAAATTCAGGGTGCTAGTGTAGGCGTGTTACATGTGCAAGTAAAAGGAAGTGAAAAAGTGCAAGTGAAAGCATGGGAGGATAAAGATGGAATATTCCATGTGCAGCACATACCCGCTGAAATTGGCCTATATGAACTTTTCATTGCTGCCGGAAATCAAAATATACCAGGTATGTTGTCATCCAGTGCTAAATTATTCAGACTGTTCGCTTACTAGCATTTGTAACAGTAGAGCAAGATTGCAGTCGAAATTCCAGTTTTTATGCGTTTTTTGCAGCTATGCAATGCAGAAAACGCATATTGACGAGAGGTTTTCTGTGT